TTTTATCCTACTTTTTAAAGATTCTTCAGTTGTTTATAGGTTTTGAAATGAAATTACCTTAAACTATATTTAATCGTCCAAGTGTGAGATATAGACGCCTGTTTTGTTCTGTCGGACTCATCAACTGGATACATGTGGACGCCAGTGTTGACTTTCATACAGGGACGCCAATTCAGTATCTACTGCTTCAAAAGCCAAACAAACTATCCACTGAGCTACTGAGTCCAGATAACTACTCATTTTTCCAGTGAGTATGACATTTATATCATTATTAGAAGGAGTGTGAGTATGCGGAAACAACTCATACAAGACTAACTTATGCTGACAGAAGCTGACCAAAATTCAGTCAGTAATATTAACAGATGAATAACTCAAACCTCTTTCAACAATGACTGGTAGATGTGAATGGTTTAGACAATCACATAAAGAGGTTGATAATACTTCATTGAAAAAATGAGAACGAATAAAAGGTACATTTAGCAAAACTTAATTTCAACCATTAATTAAATGGTTTATTTATTTATTCATCTGACTAAATTTTTTACTAAAAAAATTAATTATTTAACAATAATTTGATTATTGGTATTACTAATAGGATATAAATTATAAAAAAGTGATTGTTTGGCAAAAATTCAATGATATAAAACAATTAATGATTAATAATATTTTTATTATAACATTACTACTACAATTTCATTAATGTTTAATTTAGTGTAATGATGAATTTAACAAAAATTTCAAGTGGAAACTTTTAAACTCAATAATTACTAATTAGTGGATAGTAGTATGTTACTGACAAATAAAAATGATTTATTGATTAAAGAACATGAATTGACAACTCTGAGTTGTGTGTTCTGTTATATCTGTATGCCCATAACTGTATGCATAGAAAATTGAATTTTAACTGATTTCTACACTTTTACAAAACAGGAGATTTAAACTTTGAGTGAAATCACAAGAAAATATAAAAGATCTATTTAACAGAGCGACTACCATCTGAACTTATTATAATGTTTTGCATAAAAGAATGTAATATTTTTAAGTAACGTTATGATGGTGACTAGTAGTGAAACTCACAATGCGCGTGTCACCTTATTTTAGACTCGTCAGCTTGGTATACCTTTTTATTCTTAGCATAGAGACTTGAACCCGGTACCACTTGCTTCAAAAACCCAATATCTTAGCCATTTTGGCACTTAGTTCAGGCAGTCACTGTCTTTTACAACTTAATAAGAGCTAAGAGTAAAAACCTTTGTTATAACTTGTCTTTTGAATACTTATTGTCTTGGCTCTTTTAATGCTACTTTTTTGTATCTGGTCGTCGCTGATTGTTTTGTCGGAAACACTTATCACTTATAGTCGGAACGAGGGACCTCTGAGATTCCCACGACCCAAAAGGAAGAACACAAAGACTGGTATAAGTGATGATTTATTAACGCCAAAACACTATGATGACGACTCTAGTCACTCATTTATATATTGATTGTACACTCATTTTGGTTAATAATTAGGATGAAATCACATATATGAAAAATACATAAAGTTATAAGAAATCACATACTGAGCATAGTTCATGTCAATGGAATACACGAATATCATATGTTTTGCAGAATAAAATATCATACAAGACAATAAAACAAATACTACATTGAGTAATCATTACAATGAATCAAAACAGAAGTAGTCTTGGACAAAACTCATAATGAGTAAATCAATCGAAAATTGACTTTTCTTTCCATCATATCACCTTTCCGTTTGCTGGTCTCACTAATCATAATTGATCGATCTCTTTTGATGAGTGTGAATTTTGAGTGCATTGTCTTGGTAGTAACATTGATTAGCAAAATGAACGATATCCACGTCCTAATTTCCGCTTCTAAACACCAAAAAAATATCGTTTAGAAATGACTGTGACTCAAAAGCACGATTGCAAAAACACGCTCAAATGTACATATTGCTAAAACAGTTACTTCATATATTCCAGAAGTGCTGATAACATTTCAAGAACCATAGAATGATCTTAGTAATATATATATATATATATATATATATATATTCACTAAACGTTTCGACTAAAAGGATAAATAACCTGATAATAAGCAATTATTTTTGTTCGCACTCATAGAATCTAAAGTTCCAGTGATCATTCATTACTTATAAAATTCAACCGAATCAAAAGTAAAATAATCTTCGTAGATGAAAAGTGGGTTCTATTCTCGATTGATTGAAGTTGCCAATCATGCTCACTACGTTACAACTCATTAGGCAATAGAAAACGAGACTTTGAAGCTGATTCACCATTCAATCTTGTATCAAAACTGAACCAATTTTCACTAATTAGAGGATTAGTTCTGTTCTTTCACTAGATCTGTGTGACTAAATATTCATAATTATAAGGTGTTATAAGAAAGTAAGAAATATAAAAGTAATCAGATAGAAATAAACCAAATAATTTCTATCAATGGCATAAAAGTCTTATTGATCCCAATGTTCACAAATTATTGTTTTATTTTTCACTAGTTGATTTGTGAAAGTTTTTCAATTTGTACTGAAATTATCAACTGATCAAGTTACGTGATCGTTAAGAAACTGTAAGTACTGGACAACTATTTTGTCCTAACATGGATACTTCTCCACGGTAGGCATCTACCACTATACCATGCAATTTAGTTTCTACTTCATTAAGCATTTATCTATTATAATTCAGTAGTGGGCATATTTTATTGTTTTTCTACGATAATAAATATATTTTCCATAATTTTTATTTTTTATATTAACAATCAACAACGGTTTTTTCACTTGTAGGTATAAATTAATACTAAACTCGACTAGATAGATTTCTACAGCTGAATAAATAATAAAAAATTTATGTAAACAGAATGAAAGGCAGAAACTGACAAATAAGTAAATAAATACAATGTGATAAGATGACGAGAATCGAGTATTTTTATTTCATTCCTTACACAAATTACTGTTCATTTTATAATCTATAAAATTTGAAGAAATAAAAACTACAGTTCGATTTTTATAACAAGAATACATATTGGTTGAATGATGTTGAACATTTTTGTAGTAAGTCATTTTTTAAATAAAAAAACACAACTAAATGAAATCAGTCATGTGATCAGTGTTAGTCAATAAATAAAAATAATCACGGAGATGTGAATTTGTTTTAACAATAGTTTGTTTTAAAAAGAGAAATGAAAGTCTGACTCCAGCTAGACATCCAAGGAACTTCTCACTATTACATACGCATGAAGGACAAATGATGGAAATTTGCAAATAAATTATTCAGTATATGGCTCTCATATTTTGCCAAGAGATTCTGTAATTTATTGTAAACATACAATTAGTTGTCTCAAAAAAGTGTTTTCACTCATTACACTACAAACAAAATATGTTCCAATAATGATCAACACTTACAAAAAAGAGATTTATTTGAGTAATTGTTTAATCAACTAAATTGAGATGAAAACCTTAGAAAGATTCACTATGTTCTCATGAGAACTTCGAGATATGTAAATACCCTATAAATTGAAATTAATTATTTTGAATTCGGTTTTAATTTAGGGCTTTCTTAACTTCAGTAATTCTTGTAACGTTGAAGAACCAGTCTTTTAATAAAAATAAACTGAATCGGATCTTTGATAATGGCATATCATAATTACTTTTCAATAACATGAAGTCAAACTTTTTTATCAGTTGATATTTGCTACTAATTTAATTAGAAGACGAACTAGAGTAATACATTACATTGTCAGAACAAGATTATAAAAAGTGAATATAAAGAAAAAAATTAATTAATCAATACTAACATCTTTATAACAAAGCTTTGAATAGACAGAATTGTAGTGATTTTGTAATAACCTAACTTATAAATTACTAACTTTCATTCCTTATCATATTTCTTACTGTATACAATGTGAGTTGTTTTGATTTTGAAAATTACATACAACTCTTAACCAAGTACATGTAGATGAACTCATGATTGGATTGTAGCAGCCGCTGTCATATTGCTAATATCAATTGATTACGACCAATTCAGCAGAGGATGCTGTTAGTATTCCTTAGCTGGTCAATCAGTATGATTTGATTTATATTAAAAACTAGACATACAAGCACATCTCACTACGAAAAACTAAACTAGTTCTTAAGCCTTTGTATCATATATACAATAAATCCCACTCCAAGTAAAAGGACGGTGACATCTCAGGATAAAAAGAGGATAGTATGATTCTACAAAGAGTACCGACATATTTAACCCAGATTCCTTCTAATAGCAAGTGTTAAATAAGGTAAGAATTAGGTACAGAGCTTCTCAGTAAACACCAGGAACCACTTAACATCAAGCTATTAACTTTATTATTACCGGACATTTCATTTTTATTGTAATTCCTGGTTGTTAGTGATACAGTCAGATAATAAGAAGTAGTAAGAAGTCAACCGATGTCAATCAGAAGTTACCTCAGGGTCAAGTACATTTCATTGAATTCAATTTCCTAAGGATTAGAGTGACATATATAGGAATAAGTATATGTGCATTTCATTTTGTAGTCCAATGCACTCTCTCGCTCAAGATGTCAGTTGGGGGAGGTAGCTCAAATCATACAAACTTATCTCAGTCAACTTCTGTTAACTAACAACCACCAGACAACTATTTCGTCCTAGCATTGGGATGTCTTCCGTAGTTTTCGAGGTCCAGTAACTGGCGCAGGTTTGGTTGTACGAAGATGTTATGATTATAAATCTTCCACTGAACTTATCTAGATTAAAAATCACAGCTTATTTAAGCACATTACTCACATAATCATGTTTAGCTTATCGACTACTCAGTCTGAATTCAACTTATCAGTTATTAGTTTTAGACAGATTGTACACTTATTCAGTATATACAGGTTGCATAAGGGCTTGAAATTAATTTAATAAAAGTTCTATAATGTAAACATTAATTACTTGGCTAATCGTCGAAATTGTGTTTGGTCTTTTTTATTCTCTTGTAGAAAGAGTATCTTATGCTTGTTGAGAAGTGTATGAATTTCGCATGTGAAATGATGGATCTTTGTCGGGGTACACAAGAAGTTGAAGCGGTTATCTCAGATTTCTTAGAAGATGGAACAAATATCCGCGATCCACTCGGTCGTCTACGACTTGCTATACGCTTCGAGGAGAAAAAGGTATAACTGCTGGGATTATTATTAGATTGTAATAATCTGAATATTCCCTACTCTTTTTATATCATCGTTTCTGTTTGACTGGATTATGCTCTTTTAATGATGTTTTACTTTCAACTAATTTATAAAATGGCTTCCAAATGCAAGTTTTAATGTCGTCATATGAAAAATATATCTCATTTAAATTAGGCATATATAAATATTGTTGACAGTTATGTATCATTATCAGCTATACTGCGTCACAGAAATATAATCAATAAGTCATTACCCTTAAAAAATTGTAATAGTTTATTTAGTAATGTCATCAAAAATTTCAACATTGATTGTCAGATTGTTAAGATAAGTAGACTCTCTCCGGATTCAGTCATCTTAATGTCTCTAAAAAACAGAAACATGTTGATCTAGTGATAACTGTAACATATTCTTAGATCATTGACACAGACCGGTAAGCGAAGGTTGCAACTCATAATGTATGTTATTTATGATTCATTGAGCTACCAGCTAAGTAATTAAGAGGAAGGAAATGCAAGTTTTGTGGTGCAAACATTTCAAAAAATCTGTTTTTATGTACTGTTTTAATTTATGAACATATATATTTGAAGACAGATGGACGAAGATAAACATTTTGTCATAAAATCCTTACTTACGCTATTCATTAAAGAAATATAATGCTCCTAATCTATATATCTTACTAACAACTTCCATGCGTCAATTATTTAGGGACATTTACTGGATTTGTTTCAAAAATAATCTCACTTTTTGATTGAAAATATGAACTGACTAAAGCTAGACCACAATTGAAGACCTAGAGGCACTGCTGATTCGTCCTAGTATAGGACTCCTCAGCAGTGTAGATCCATGGTCTCGCAAGCGGAAATCGAAACCAGGACAATCGGTCTCACATTCGGATGCCTTACTTCTAGAACTCTGTGGTAATATCTATCGTCAAGCAATTCACAATATCGAGCAACCATGTTCATTTATTTTCGGTAAGTAAATAACTCATAACCGAAACATTTTAGCTTCGCTCATCACTCTTTACATTATTTTGGGAAATGAAACATTCTTTTAGATAAATTACGTACCAACAATATTTTCAGATTTGTGTCTGGGTATTTTAATTTTAAAATTTCTGATTCCGAGTTATTCGCTTTTATGCAACAGACTTTGGTTACTTTGTTGTGATTCAGTACTGTACACTGATTCAAAATAGTTTTTTAGTCAGAACAAGGAATTATACTTTGAGCTTTTCCTAAGTTTTGATCAACAATAGCACAGTTGTTGATGACTAAAATCCCAAACAAAAACCTTTCTCAACTATAATACAGAACAGATTACTTGTTTCAACCAGACATATTTGTTCTACACTATCAATATTGATAGTAATAACTGTTTGCAAGAAATTATTGATTAATCCATTGCTTCGCAATTCAGATATTACTAAAGTATAAAATATGGAATCAACTCATAAAATCATAGATTATTTGAAATATCTCATTCCTGGCTGATAACAGAGATTGGAACAAAATTCCTTATCTATCAGCTGCTTCCGCCAAGTAAAAACAGCTCATCAACTGTAATTTCTCTGGCATTTCAATAAAAAAGTCGAGGAGACATTTTTAACAAGATCTAAGTTTTTAAAAATATGCTTCTATAACTGTTTATACAGTAACAACAACGAGGCTGAAAAAAGTAATAAAATAATGCGTCAAAAGAGAAAGTAACCAGTTGGAGAATAACAATGATCACTATAATAATTATAAAATATATGTGATCATTTACCTGGTTACTATAAACTATTAAGAGAATACAAAAAAATAGGTTAATTAAATCCTTACTGGTGCTATCAAACTGAAAATTCATAACAGAAAAAGAATATATCAGAATAGTAAGTTGACTTGAAATTTATCAAAATAGCTTCAATATACTATTAATTTATCTTTCTTCCAATCTACTATTTGATTATATAACAATTTATCTAATTTGTTCATCATATTAATTCGCCTTTTTTGTTGTTGTTGAATATACCCTTATTTTTGTTTAATATAAAATGTGACAATGTAACTAAATCCATAAACCATATCTTCCATAATGAACTGATTAAAACAATTGGCCATACGGTGTTTGCTTTATTAAAGTTTCATTTCATAAATCAATAAAAAAACAACTGTAATTTCACAAATGGATATACTACATTCATTCGAATAAACATATTTTAAGAGATACTATTGATCATATAATCTTTATTTATAACTAGGAAAAAAACAATCACTGGTAAATTAAATGATTACTGATCACGAAAAATATTCAAATGTCAACTGACTAATAATCATAAATGGCAAACAAATTCTGGAAATATTTCTATGGAACAATCAAAATATTTTCAAATATTCGTTCCTTTTTCTCTTCTTCTTTTTTTCTATGAAGAAAAAAAAGCGTACTCATTCCATGTCATTATTGTAAACTGTGGCATTCAATAAGAACCATTTATAAATTAACTAAACTTCAATAAAATGAGGTCTCTTTGTTTTTCTTTTTTAGAAAAAAAAGTTAAGAAATATAATTAAACTATTTAGTTTGTTCAATAGTTTCAAATAAAATCAGTCTAATAAAAATGAAGTTAATATTATTTATAAGATTGTGAAAAGACATTAATATTAGTTATTCAGTACAGGAATATGTTAATCTGTAATAGGAAAAATTAGGCAGATTTCATCAACACTAGGAATTTTGTTTGATTAGTCAAACTTATAAATGGATTATCAATGTCTTTATAGTTATAAAATAAAACTTGATATAAACTGAAATTTCAAATATTGTTAGAGTTGACATCCAACTTGAGATTTGTTAGATCCAAATAAACATAATGAGTGGTAACTTTTGGATCCTTTTATGTACCAATACTAAACGTAAATTTTTATCGCATAATTGTTAAATAACTAAACTATTCATATTCATGTTCCTCTTATTATAAGCTTTATTTTGATCTGTGAACCATTATTATACGTTTTACCATTCTTGAATTATGCCCTGTCTATTAGTCACTGCCTCACACATTCACAGCCAGGTTTGGTCCATAACAAGAATAAAAACTATCATTTAAGTTTCAAATAAGTTCGCATAGTGCTCAGATGTTTGTACCAAATATCAATTTATAATAACCAATATTTCTTTTAGTTAGTGGTTCTAATCAGATATCATCTATCAAGTGGGATTGTAATCATTAATTTGAGAAAATGCTTTAACTATTATGAATGAGATATAAATTATACATTTCAGACTTATAACAAAAATAGAAAAATGAAATGTGCAGCTCATACCAAAGCAGGTGATTTATTTAGAGGGCTATTACCCGAGCGTTTCAGGTAGATGTCCCATTTACAACTCAGTGAGGTTTGACCAGAAGATGCTATCCCATGGTACCCAGTGATCAATAATAAGTTCATATCATATTATATCTCTCAGAATAATACAGCCTATGTTGAATTCGAGTTCAAGTATGTTGATGACAATTCACCTTTTAAAACACGGGTTTTGGTAGCCTGTGCACGTGTTACGAATATCGTTCCAGTAATCGCCATATCGTAGATTTAACCGCGATGCTGATATGGGGTGAAAAAAGGAGATTAAGTCAGTTTATAACATGGTGCCCAGATATAAAATAACTCTTTATAGAGTTGACATCTTTCCGTCTATCAACACCCTCTTATTTGGTTTGTAAAGATGAGGTTATTCAATTGCTTCATACTTTAACAAACATGACTCATAACGAGAGCCAATTGTCGTTTTTTTATATTCTTCATTGTAATGAGAGAATGTTCTGTAACTAAAAGTTTTTCTCATGTGGGTCTTTTTAAAATGATTAGCTTCTACTAATACAATTATTTCTCATTTACTCATTTTTATTCATTGAGTCATTTGTTTACACTCCATCCGCTGGCTCTATCTGTCAACAACCCCATCTTCCTACTTGTGTGATGCATATTTGTCTCGGTCACTACATGCACACCAATATTTATGAGTTTATGTGTAGTAAAATAAACCGTGAATAACCACTTGGTTCACCTGCTACATTGTAGAGGAATTCTAAATCCGAATGAACTAGGTGTTTCAAGTTTTGATGGTTGCAACCTTATTTCGAAGAAATTGAAATTAGTAATTACTATTATCAAATAAGTAGCTTAATGTTATCGCTTTTTAGTTTATTTGAGAGGAACTGATGAATTCAAGTAAACTTTAACAAAGTTTCAATGTAAATTTCTTTGACATATAAACGTTTGCTATAAAGTTTACAAAACGGTTACTCACAAAAATAAATAAATAAATATGATTACATGTATTAGTTTCTGACAAACATATAACTTCTGTAATTTCATCAATCAACATACATAAAATTAGATGTGAAATCAAAATTTTAAAGATGAACACAATGAATTACTAATGAACAGTAAGTTTTGTGAGTTCTCGACTTCGTGTAATTTGTAAACTGACGAACGACGAAATCAATTTTGTATTATTTATACAATTTATTCTCAATCTTCTAAAAACACTTTAATATCATTAAACATTAAGAAAAATATTCACAATACATTACTGAATATTTAATTGTTAACCTATTTGTATCAGTTATCATTGACAAGTAAGTACATTTTCACTGTTAATAGAAAATATAATTAGTAAAATGAAAATGTTCAATTTAATCCTACAAAATAATTGGAATGTGGTGTGTGCTACTTATATTGACATAAGTAGTATATGATGTTAGTCGTTAACAGAGATCAAGCAGTAAAGAATAGAAACAAAATGCAATTTATATGAAAATGCAAGAACAATGAAGTCTGAGTCATTTTGAGACAATTGGTGGACATTTTGCAAATTAAGCATTAACTTTATGATTGTTAGATTTTATTAACAAATCCTGTAGTTTTGTGTTAAATAAATTCGATTGTCCCCCCTCCCCAAAAAAATGTAGTGAACAAGAACACCAGTGGAGATAAGTTCAATAGATATGCTACTTTATTTAGATATAGTATAACGAATTTAAAGAAAATATATACTTATTTAAAGCATAGTTAAAGTAATATAATTCGGTATGTTATTCTCTTCTATTCAATTTTATTTTATGGGATATATACATTTAAGTATTGATTAGGAATTCAAATAAGCATATGTAAATTTCATTTCTAGATTACTTTGTTGCTATTACCGCTATGTGATTATTCATTGACGTTATTATTTTTTAACAATTATTTCAAAAGTGAGTAAATAAAATTAGCTTTCTATCCCCGTTTCTTCTAGTCACCCACCATAACAAAACACTCACCTCTACATATAAGCACATGTACAGAGAAAAGAAAAAAACACTTCCCTTTAAAACTAGGATTAAATATCATTCTATAGATAATTTCGATTGCATATATCAATATTCATTAACTGTATATTCGCCTATCCTGGCCTTTGTTTTTAATTGTTCATGTTTACTCACTAGTTAGCTGACTAGTTGGATTATCTGCTTGCTTGCTTATTACCTCATGACTTGTAAATCCTATCATGTATAAATCAGGAAACTAATGAGATAAGAAAATTTCCTACAGATAAGTATAATTTTAAGAACATGATTACAATATGTAAATCTGTCATGAGAAAATTAACAGTCTAACTCATCAATATAAATAAATGTAGCTCTATGTACGCATATATACATATACAATCTCGGTATGTATCTACGTTTGTAAGCATGTCAAAGCGATCATGATAAAAATAATCATTCCGACTGTTTTCACTTCCGTCGAATTTTATTTCAAGATAGTTAATTATATATATATTACAGTCACTACTATTATTTGTATTATTGATGGCAATCTTTTAGAGCATAATCTTATTTGGAGAGAAGATCGTGTTGAAATAATGAAAATGAGAGGAAACAAAGAAATCTCAGCAAATGAAATAATGGTTCTTAACAGTTTCTATTCTTCAAAAATTCAGTTACTCAATCTCTTTTCTTTTCTTTATATGTATATATATTTATATGAACATTCTTTAAAATTGGACGAACTTTATTGAAATTTGCACAAAAACATTTCATCCCTTGATGAGTTATTTTTGTTATCGGTGCTGTCGTCGTTGTCGTTGTTATATTTTCATATTTCATTAATAGTAATCAAAGTAGATAAGAAAAAAGAGAACGATTTGAAACAAACAAATCAATGATAGGAAATAAAAAATGAGTAATTAGGATTTCTGTATAAGAATTTATTATCAAAGAATACTTAATTATTTTGATAACATTCAGCAGGATACTACTTAATATGATATATATATATATATATAAAGCTCTGTTGGTTTCATATGTATCAATTAAACTGTACATTACATTAAAATGAAAGTTGATCATGATAACTGTTAAAGAGTGTAGAAAGTTCAATAGGATTTTTTTGCTTCAATGAATTTGCGAAAATGAAATGAATCAGATTATTTGGTTGAGAACATTTTCTGTAGAAAAAAAGAGTCATTAATGAGTATATTTTTAAAAAATCCAAAGAAATGAATCCTTAGTGTTGTAAATCCACACTACTATTATGGATAGGATATGAGCAATTTCAATGTTGTGTAAAACATATGATAATTGAGTCACTGAAGTGAAATTTGTTAGTTCATATTTTTAACCTGTTTTAAATTAAAAGCATAGAACAATAAAAAACTTATCCAATTGGTATGTTATTATATTTTGGTGTGTGCTAATGATGTCGACAGATGTAAGTAGTATGTATCATTAATCAAAAGTGAAATGTCTGGCGGCAGAAGGTTAAGACGATCATAGAAAAGTAGACGAGACCAAAGAAGGATTGCTGTGAAAAGGAGGGAACAGTGAAGTCTGAGACGATTGATTAATATTTACAAAAGGAACAGTCAAGTTTGAGACAATTGCTTGACATTCTGCAAATTAAGTATTTACTGTCTTGTTCTCAGATTTTACTTAGAAGTTTTGTAAATTTGTGTTCAACTACATTCGATTGCCCCCACTGTGTTCTTCTTCACTACAGTATCAGTTTAAATTTACTTGATGCAAAGTACAAAAGCTTTACAGTAATCGTTTACAAAATTGACCCGCATGCTAATTATTGTCAAGCGTTGTGGTAACATCTGAACTTAAATCAAAAGGTCATTCCAATACTGTCTTGATTTACAATAATTTCCCAACTAATCTTTATCTTTGGTGTAAACTATTTTCAACTTCAACTAGTTACAAATTGCTTCCCTTAACTATTTAAACAGTGATATTTATAACTTGGATAAGAAAAAGAGAATTCAGTGAAGAAAATTTATAGTGATATGGAAAATATACAGAAAATGTATAGCTTAAGTAAATGATTTCGTCGAAAAGAAAATTTTCTTCGCTGAATTCTTTTTATTTATAATTTCATTAAGAAATGAAAATAGTTTACCTCAATAGAATTATTCATTCTAAATGAAAAAACGAGTCATCATTGGTGAATGAACAGACTTTAAAAGGCACAAAAATTAGGAATTAATTGATTTCGTCAATAACTATCTTCAATTCATTTTAGTTTTTGAAAAGTATTCTAAATTTATTCATATATACCAATTATTATTAATAATGGATTTAAGCACTAAGTTGATAGGAATAATAACTTATTTTCAATTTGTGTTTCTTTTTTTCTTATTTCCCATCACCTTAACCTCCGAACCCCGGCCAGTTTGTTGCTCATCCAAATTGTCAACAATATCTTACTAGTATATGGTATGGATCAGAAACAGCTTTTCTTCAATCATGGTCATTAATTAGGAAAATTGGTCTTTCCATAGCTGCTACACCGTTGCTTCCATTATTCTGTTTAATATACATTATACTGCCTACCTCGAATGTACGTGATAAACCACTGATTTTTAATTTTCATTTAATGTTATTTTCCCTCCAAAATTTGTATTATAAATTGATTTTAGTTCGGCAACCATTGAACATAACCAAATATTGGATTTCTGTTTCATTCCAGTATAGAACTCCTTGGCAGCAGCGTGCATGACCTTTAGACGACCGAGTGAGCACCAAATAGTGTACATTTTTAACCTCGGCTAGTTCGCGATATTGTGAGACCGGTGTTTGATGTCAATAATGTTTAAGTGACTCGTAGTTGGCATTGCTGAATCCTCGAGTTACGGCTTATAACTGAAACATCTGTTAAAATTAACCTCTAACGAGAACGTGATTTGGGTCCCTATAGAGATTTGATTGAGATTTATTGAGTTCATAAAATGGACCAGTACGTAACACATGTCACGTGGTCATTTATTTTAGTACCCAAGTGTATGGTAAAGAGGAGGTAGTGAAATAACCACAACGAATTTTAAACAATTGTCAATCAGACAAATTACAGAGTTGGGCTGTCTGGACTATCTATCCTAGCTACCATGTCTGATATTACTCACATTTCACACTATTATCGTACATACAAATGAAGCTCCATCCTCTCGAACCACAAAGGTCACAATTTTTCATCCCTGAGCTTGCACACGTACACACACGCACAAATTTACATACATGTCGCTTATAAATCACCTTGACTGAAATGACATAACATTGACTTGTTCAGACCTGTTTTTTGATTGATCGCACATGATATTCTTGTGTTGTTCCTTTGTGTTATTCAAACTTGGCCTACACTGAGTCACGAAACGTCAGAAAATCTAATTTCCCTATTGTTGGGATGATACAAATATATTAATTAATTAATTAATATAGAAGTGGGTTTTTGCTACTCACTCTGTATGACATAATACATAAGTAATTCATTTCAAATTTTTTACTAAAAGCCATTTGTTCAATTATTGGCTCATCCCTACTGTTTAATATATATATATTCAAAATATTTCAAATATTTCATCGAAAAATATTCAACTGAAACATAAATGTATTTTTTGACTATGTACATTGAAACACGAACATATGAGAAATAGACAATGAAAGTCAGTCTATTTAGATATTATTTGAAAACAAGCAATGTCGATTATAAAGGCCAATCTTTTTAAACTAATCAAAAATCTATCCTTAGCTTTTCTCAGTATTGTTTGGTTTTTAAAAAATTTCAGTAATTATACTGGTGAACAAAATACAGGAAATCATTTCAAAGCCGATATTTTACAATGATGATCATGATAATCAGGAAAATATTCTGAAAGATTTATAAAGTTCATTTATTCCAGGTTAAACATGTAAATATCTGTGCATACAATTCGCTTCATCATTTTACTGATAGAAATTCAGGTGATATATACATAAAATTCTCAAATGGTTCTTAATATGTCGAACGTACCATAATTAGGATTTAAACAACATGGTTTCTTACTACAAAGAGTAGAATGTCATATTTTTGAATGAATAACATAGCAAACATGGTTTCACTATCGTTACAGTATACTTATAGTCATCCAAAACTTGAAGGGAATCGACGAAAAAGACAACAAAGAAAAACAAAAAAGGCTTACTGTAATTGGTCCGTCGTCATATATGTGCTTGGTGGTTTAATGACGTATTCATTTAGATATATTTTATTTGAATAAATCCCTTGTTCTGTATGAATTCTCACAATAATGAAGTGAATGATGAACTTTGACATTGATTAGGAACAGCGTAAGGGATTCATATAACAAGTTCATAAAAAAAATTAGATGGAAAATTTCAGTTTGTAGAAAAGTATAGACTTCTTTACATCGTTCAAATTCATTGTAATTTCACTAGTGTACTGAGTTACAGCCTCTGGTGTAAGTATTTTTAGGACACCACCGAATGGAATTAAATTATTGATGACAGTGAATTCGTTTTACAGAGAGATCGTAGTAAATCATCTTAGATTCTCAAAAAAAAATTACCCGTAAATCATAACATCTAGAGAGCCGAATCAGAATGAGAAAATTCCGATTTTAATATAAAGTTACGAATGTTACAACTGGACAATTCATAAAACCAAATTGCAATAATAAATGTAAAAATTAAATTATGCACTACAGATTGTACATATTCCCAACTATTTTTCTCTTGTTTTATAAAAAACAGATTGCTCGTTCAATGCGATGTCCGGCAGCTAAATTTGCAACTCATGTTGTATCCCATTTTTTATTTTTAATATTACTCGCTGCAGCAACATTCCGTTTAGAAGAGAATTATGATGCATTATTAGACGAACAAATGCTTGGTACAGGGGATGAAGAAACAATACGACAATGGGTACAAAAAAACTTTCGACCATCTAAAGCAATTATAACACATGTTCAAATATGTATTGTATTGTGGGTAGCCGGTAAGTAATTGAACAGTCTTTTTTCTTCTAAAAACAATATAACTTTTTTTTACAATAAACCTGTGACTAAATCACTACCAAACAACTTTAGTGGGGAAAATATTGGAAAAATAAGGATAGATTTCTCAATAGTGCGTATAGTGCATGAGATCGAACGAATAAGCTTCGGATCTACTTTTGTAGTAGTCAATCTTTAATGATGGTCGAATTCTATCAATTAAGTTATAACGTAACCAAGTCAAAAAGTAGACACCGATGGTGTTGTCTTGAATAATCATGAGAGCTTTTTAATCGAACCTTCAAGGAACGCAACGTTATCATAAACATCTATCTTAGTTTCATATCTCCTATAGATGATACTAGAAACCTATGATTTTTAACAAATCACTATATTTTCCTGTTGTATAGTTCTACACGTTTGTTTGATAAAAAGAAATTTAATATTTACGGTAAAATTATACAAACTAAGGTTAAAAGTTATTATTCAATTACTTCTCGATCATAATAAACGCATTTTAGCCACGTTCAGCTGTTCATCATACAACCAAATGTCTCGGGGTCCTTTACCAACTAGAATTATAAGTAGAAATGTATGGTAACAAATTCCGTCAATTTAATTTTTCAAAACATCGTCTGGTTAGTTTGATACGTGACAGTAACTAAGGCAATAAAACACTCAAATGAATAATAAGTAGTTAGATAATCCCAGCGTATTCACCGCTCTAAATACATAAGTTTTTATCACAATGATATCACTTAGAGTTTGTACTTCTACTTTCTTTTTGTAAAATTATGCATCCACTTACAGACACTATCAAAAACTCAAACACAAGAAGAGTTAATTTAATAAATTAATGTCTTTTAAAGATTTTGCATTATTCTCTAAGATGCTCGTCTTCGATTACCGTTTTATAATGCTACAAAATACTAAACTTAAGTCTACCTGCCAATGTTCCTGGCTGTATTTTATTTTAATCTTTGTACTTCACTCAGTAATTCGGGTACTTAAATAATGTAAATCTACACATGTGTAAATCTATCTTATCTGGATTGTTCTAGTGTCATTCAAATGTGTTGTCTACTTACTGAAAGTAAACACTTAAGTATACTCGTATTAGATTAGAAATAATGACCATTACTGTATTGTAACAAAAGTAAAATTTCTTGGATTCGATCTCCTGATGGGGTCAGGGGTATTCATCACCCAAACAAGTATAAAGAGATCTCTCTCTTAATTCTTGTTTTTTTTTCTAATATTAACCCAATTTGTTACAAATTTCACTTAAAAATAGGTGTTATTTAAATAACATTATTCGATTATTTTAATTTGATATATTTTAATGACTAGTTGGTTAGCTAATTGACTTATTTACTTAATTGTATCTTTTAATGCATGATCTATATCATATTGTCTACCTGTTTTTTTTATTGTTTAATAGGACTACTACTTGCTGATATTAAACATATCTACTTTGCAGGATTCAGGTCTTATATATGTAATGCATATAATTTACTAAATTTTTGTATATTATCCATGTATATTGGTTCGTATACATTACGTATAATTGTTGACCGTTGGGTGCGCGAATCAGATCTATTCTTTAATGCAACAACTCAAGTGAATTTTTTATTGCAAACAAATAATAGTATATTAGTACATCAAATGGTACAAAATTGGACACAGTCATGTCATCATGATAAAAGTTATTTTATTACCGCGTGTAAGATTTTTTCTTGTTTTAGTGTTTATTACAATTATGTTAACACTATTTTTATTTAAAGTTATCAGAATAAAAAATGTCTTATTTAGTATTTAATTGGATAATTATTTTTAAATTCACTTGGTGTTGTTTTACTTGTATCTTCCCATTGTTATTTAGGACTCCAACTGATCAGTCTCATGTTGGCATATGTGCATCCTGTGTGGATTGCATCAATATAGCCTTAAGTCACAAGCTTTCTAAACAAAGATAGATAGTGGCTACCCGTGGAATCCAGGTCATTTAAATTATGAACTGATTCTATTTTGATCATAATTAAAAACCTGGAAGCACTAGACGACCGTTTCATTCTAATATGGAACTTCTCAATAACTCACATTTACAATTCAGCAACCGGGACTAGGACTCATAACCTTCGGTCTCGCAAACGAACACTTAACCTCCAAATCGCCAAATGGGAATACAATTTTGTCTGATTTGAATTCATTCACAAGCAACTTTTATTGTCTTAGATGGATCGTTAATAAGCAATGCCGAAGAAATGGCTGTTCAGGGCTTTCAGGTTTCTGAATAGTAGTCTACCTTAGATCAGTTCATGGCCTCAGCTAAATCTACCGTTCTCTGCATTCTTCATACTGACATCTATTTTCTAATACAATGTTTCATTCATTTTACTGAATTACTCTCCTCTATTTTTTTATTTATTATTAGCCCGATTTCGTTGGAAATATGATGATCCTGAAATTGTATCAGATGTTATGTTTGCAGTAGCTAATGTAGTTAGCTTTGCTCGTACCACGTATTTGATGCCAGCTTTTGAAGCACTAGGTCCATTACAAATTTCATTTACCAGAATGCTTACAGATATTACACGATTTATGGTTCTATATTTACTGGTATGTTAACAAATAGTCAAATCTTTTTAATCAATGATTTTACTTTTTTATTGAAGAAGAGTAAAATTGGAAAAAATTCTACCAGTCTGTGACTAAGATAATCAGCTTTAATTATGTTTTCATTTATTGAACAGAGTTTGCTATGACGGTAAAATGCTATACATTCATAATTATACGATTTACTGTTTTAAATGATTCAAATTATGAACGAATAATGGAAATCCAAATTAATAATACACGATTCATCAGTGAGAGGATATTATGAGATAAACGACAGCTAGTATGCACGAACAGATTGATCTCAATTATAATACCACTAAAAACCAAGGAGGATTGAAAAGCTATTTTGTTCTAGTATGGCACTCTTCAACAGTGCATACCCATAAACCCATCAGGAGTCGAACCCAGAACCTTGAGGTATCATGGTAAAGGCTTATTCATCTCAGTCTAGGTGGATCTTTGTATGTACACTGTTTGGGCGTCCAGTATTAGAGAAGAAATGAACCCAGTTATCCTTGATTTTCAATGAAATCTCAGTTAAAATCAATCTCTGGTGAATATAGCCTAAAACCTAAACGGATATCCACAAAATCGCCTTAACTAAAAGAAATATGCACAACATATTTTGAATATATGCGTAAATCCAACGAAATGCTGTTCGAAAAATGAACAATTTTAATACACGGTTTTACGATCGATTATTTAACAGATAATTACGACAAGATTATACAAATTTTCTCTCATTCACCAACATAAAATATTCTCTGTAATTTGTCATAAATTGAGTGTAGTATATTCAAACTGTTTTTCAAATTAAAAACAGGGAATACTGATTTTACAATTCTCAAATTCTAATTTCAGAGGGCATAATGTTCTTAAAATAAAACTTTGTACTTCTACACTCCAGTCTAACACATAAACATTACATTATACTTCCATTATGTCGCTAAATATTTTGTTAAACTAGTAGAAAAGCATGTTAAGGATTATACAAATATACGTACGTTTTTAAAGATGTTTCTATGATTATGGAACATCTCACTGAAAAAAATTATGAAGTTATTGAACATAGATTCAGTTTATTAGTTAGTGAGACAATGAGGTAGATAATTGTAAGCTAAAAAGTACTTTACGTGTCTGTTTTAATTTATTATATCCTTAAGTCGTTCATATAACATATATAACGAATGATACAACAGCTACTACTGATGTTCTTTGTATCGGTATTTAGAACATGATACCTCATACTGCAATCACTTCATCGTCAACAGATTATGATTTGAGCGCTTGGAATATTGATTTGACTTCTTATAACTGTTTTACAACAATAAAACTATGATTAATGAGGGTTCACTAAACTTTCACTATCCTAATTGTAATGTATTCATTAGGATTGGGTTGGATTATCTGTTGAATGGCCGCTTGTAAACATGCTATTTCATTTCTGAAATACAGTATTTATCATATTTGGTTAAACATACTCTCAATTAGTACTTAATAATCAAATATCTCGAATATACGGTTATAACTTGACAAAGTAATATGAACACTTAAAAATGTATTACTTCAACATATGAAGTTTCTTGAAATCACTCAACTTCTGGTTTCAATATATCTTTTCCCGTCAATATTATGATAGTGAACGACTAAAGCGTCCCATTTTCCGAAAAAAACATCTTCCTAGTGTTCTAATAAACAGTTTATGACTAAAATGATCAAATATTGTTTATCGGGCTATTAAAACATTACCTGTAGTAAAAGTAAGTTTTCATTTATTATTACTTATATAAAATCCAGAACTCGCGTTTCCTCCTGTATGTTATGAGAGTGTCATACTACTAACCAGGATTGAATGACCGTGATAAAGCAGTATAAAGAATTAAAATTATGATTGACAGTTGATGGTTAAGCTTAGGAACTAGATTTAAGGCCTTCATCACGGACTGATATAAGCTAAAATACCAAAACTCTGTTTAGACAAATGGATGAATGAATTTCACACCAAAACCCAAGACCTATAATCATATACCTGATTGATTCGTTCATGAATTATAGTCTCACCTCAAGGAGGAATTAGAGTTGACTCAGCCATAATTCATTGAATAACATATACATAACTCAAACAAGGAAAATAAACTTATATATATATACCCGCCTGTGAATCTCCTGGGGTTAAGGCCAGTCCCAAGCCCGGGAAAAAGCAAAAAATCGGATGTAGGGTAGGCAACACGACACCGTAGAAAACAACCTTGTTAAAAAAATGCTAAACCGATTCAACAAATCGAAAAATTTACACCCTGTCCTACGAGATGAAGGAAGAATTGGAATGCCTTGAGATGGAAGCCGAGAACCTTCAGAAGTAACGAGGTCGATGTCCCTTCTAACAGCCAGAGCAACAATTAATATTCGTGAGAAGATACAACTTGACGATGCGCAGAATAAGTGGAACTCATTGGACCCAAGTTGAACAGAAGAGGTTAGATTTGGAAGAGATGCTGCAGTACTCCGGTCACGAAGAGGAAAATGCACCGCACACTCAAGGACTTGCTCTGATGTTGTCCAAATAATCACGAAATGCACTTATAGGGTGAGAATTTCACGGATCCAAGATCATCAAAGCATCTTTCAAAACAAGGAAGGAGGGAATCACAATTTATGTTATTCAATGTTATGCACCCACCAATGATAGCAATGACGACGATAAAAATCAGTTTTACGAGAGGCTGCGGTCAATCATAGCTAAGCGCCCGAGAAAGCACCTGACCATCCTTATGAGAGAATTAAACACTAAGGCCGGGGTGGACAACACCGGAAATGAAGATACACGGGATGACATGAACTGGGAGAGCGAAACGAAAATGATGAGAGATTTGCAAATCTATGTGTGTTGTGTCTTTATGGCCCGCTAGTTATTACATAATCTATTCGCCAACCAAAATACAACTCATTCGCTCTTATACTGTACTAAACCGATGATGTTCGACCGGTCTGATCAGCCTAGCGTCCTCATGGTCCGTTGCTCACCTAGCCCTTCCAGGTGAGTTCAGAATGCCGACAACAGCCTCCATTAGGCGAATCATTTATTTCAGACATACTGAGTTTATATACCAAACAAACAGACCACAACGCAGCATAAAATATGAAATAACATTTGTACACAATAAAGCCAAAAAGTGGCTGTGAACGTGGGAGGCAGTAGTCAATAAACTGAACATAGCTTAAGAACAGTCAATCCTACAATAATTACATATAGGTCAAAATGAAGCCTATAACAAGTTGAATGTAGATATACATAATTTAGTTAATGAACATTTATACCATAAGAACACATAAAAAATATTAGTCCATTAATAGGTCTCAGACGTTACTCGTAATGTAATCTTCACTAGGATATAACAATGTGCACGCAACAAATTGGTTATAGGCGGCACAATATTCCCACACAAACGCATACACAAAGCTACATGGATCTCACCGGACCACACCACGTAGAACCAAGTAGATCACATTTTATCAATAAAACATTCAGAAGGACAGTGGAAGACGTGAGAATCAGGATAGGACCTGACATAGCTTCAGATCACCATCTGGTTGTGGCCAACATGGAACTCGAGCTAAAAGAACACTGATCAACTGGGGAAACAGCAGTAAAACGGTTCCATACAACCTCCCTTCAATATACTAACAAACTCGACAAATTCAAGATAACACTCAACAACAGGTTACAAGCCGTACAAGATCTACTCAAAGAATGAGAAACTACTATGAAGAACAATTGGAAAGGGATTAAAGAATCACCAACTTCACATGTCAGGAGGTTCTGGGCCACAACAAACATAAGCATCAGGAACGGATCTGTATGGAAACCTTGCACAAGATTCAAGAAAGGAAGAACAAGAAGACGGTAATTAACAACAGACGAACAAGAGCAGAGGAAGTCGAGACACAAACTGAATACACTGAAGCAAATAAGCAAGTGAGGTGGAGCATTAGAACTGATAAGCAGAAATACGTGGAAAAGCTAGCAACGACAACGGAAACAGCTGCAAGAGAAAGAAATCTGAAGCAACTAAATGACACTACGAAGAAGCTGGAAGGGAAACATAGAAAGCCAGACAGACCGGTCAGGGACAAACAAGGCAAGTCAAGCACTGAGATTCAAGGACGGAGGAACAAGTGGATAGAACACTTTGAAGAACTCTGGGATGAACCATCCCAACTGAACCCACCGAACACGGAAGCAGCACACACAGGTCTTCCTATAGCTGTTACTCCACCAACGACGGAACAAATCAGGATGGCCATCAGACAAATCAAGAACGGAAAAGTAGCAGGACCTGACAACATACCACCTAAAGCACTGAAGTCAGACATACAAGCATATGCAAACATGCTCCAAAGAAAGTAGATCTGAGCAAATGTGAAAAATGCAGGGGAATCACACTAACATCGGTACCAGGAAAATTTTTCAGCAGAGTGTTGCTGAACCGGATGGAATACCCAGTAGACGCCCAACTTCGAGATCAACAAACCGGATTGCGTAAGGATCGAACGTGCACAGACGAAGTCGCAACACCACGGATCATTGCTGAACAACCGATTGAGTGGAGCTTGTCACCATATATCAACCTCACTGAATATGAGAAGGCGTTTGACAGTGTGGATATGAGAACATTATGGAGGCATCCTCGATACTATGGAGTACCTGAGAAAACCGTCAAAATCATCCGGAATTGATACGACGAACTACACTGCAATTCGGTGCATCGAGGACAACTGATGCACTCATTCCAAGTGAAGACCGAAATCAGACAAGGTTGACTACACTAGCCCTTCCTTTTTCTTCTGGTGGTCAACTGCATTATGGAGACCTCAAAATCTGACGGGAAACACGGACTACAATAGACAGCTCGGAATCATCTGGACGATTCGGACTTCGCAAATGATCTGGCCCTTCCATCCCATGCACATCTACAAATGCAGGTGAAGACAGCCAGTGTGGCAGGAGCCTCTGCATCTGTAGGCCTAAACATACACATGGGGAAAACCAAGGTCCTCAAATACAACACACACAACACCAATCCAATAACACTTGATGGGGAAGCTGTGGAATCTTTCACGTACCTGAGAAGCATCATCGACGAACATGGAGGATCTGATGCAGTCGTAAAGGCAAGGATTGGCAAAGTAAGCTCAGCATTCCTACAATTCAGGAGTATATAGGACTCAAAACGACTGTCAACCAATATCAAAGTCAGAATCTTCAATACGAACGTCAAAGCAGTTCTTCAAACCCACTGCAACACCAGCAAACATCGCGTGTTGAGATGGGTGGTAATTGTGTTAATGTATTATGTTCCTCAACCACCTTAGCTGATGAATAGCCACTACCACTTTAGTCAGTTCCTCACCTTGACCTTATACTTGCAACTTAATATTACTCACTCAATTAATTCAATATACTTGAGCAGCATCTGGAGGATATCCATGATCAAATATTGGTAACTTGCGATAATCCATTATTTTTTAAGGATGCGAGTCACAACCATAAAATGTAAGGAATATACATACGTAATGAAACTGAGGGTATTCTTCATGAAACTACGTATCTAGATTTCTCACGAGTTGCCTGAATGACACAGGATCTATAATCAGTGGAGACTAACCGTGTCAAGAGTGGAGCAATTACCTGCCAGTGAGATTAGGTAATAGTTGAGAAATATTCTAAATACGATTAAATTCACTTGGTATTGTTTTGCTTGTATCTTCCCATTGAGGTTAGGGTCTGTTATTGGCATATATGCATGCTGTGAGTATGCCTCGATATTGCCTTAATTCACAAGCTTCTATAAGTAAATATGGATAGTGGCTAGCAGTGGAATCCAGGATACGCGTTTCGTCTTATTTGGGACTCGTCAGCTGGATGTACCGGCATCTCAGAGTTGATGTTCACTCTGGGACTCGAACCCAGTACCTTTCGCTTCAAACGCCATCGCATTATTCACGAGTCCCAAATAGGACGAAACGCGCGTCCTGGATTCCATTGCTAGCCACTATCCATCTTTGCTTATGAATACGATTAAGTTAGAAATCTAAACCGTCGGGCGCCAATTCAAAGAACTAATGGTTAATTACTCATCATGTATTCTGAGGGTTTTGATTTCGATATTTGGTGAACTCATGGACACACTTATCTAAGTAGTCCTATTTTAGAACGAAACACCTGTCTAGTCTTCACTGGTTTTTATTGTTTGTTTAGATACAGCCAGTTTGAGATACAAACTAAAAAGGTGTATCAAAATCTTGTCTTCAGTGCATTATTATTATGTACATAAATATGGTTATTATTGATGTAGAACCTAATTGGTTAAATCAACTATTGTAGATTTCCAAAATATCCGTAAACAAGCAAGCATATGAGTATGCCTCAAAGTAACATTATTCATCATAGAACTGTGTTAACTTTTATGAAGGTTTGAATGAAAAGAAGAGGAATATTTCATTTATCACATGACTGTTAAAAATACTTTGTCCATAGTATACCAATAATTTCGATTTATAATCAATGTTCATTCAATTGTCATTGAATTCAGAAAGTCATAAGAATAAAGGACGACAAATTTACTGATAACCTGATACATTTTCTTTTTAAGATATTTACTGAATAAGTTTCAAATGTTGAATAAAGTCATGCTTTTACTGATCGAAATTCACAGTATTTATTGAAATTGACGAGTGCTGGAAAATGTAAAAGTACTTAGTAAATTACCTATGTCCGTTCTGGAATTATGATTAATAAACTTTAATGATCAAGAATAGTTTTTTTTCATTTGGCAAACTCATCAGAAACATTCATTTAATTTAAGAAGTTAAACAATCTCTACAAACCCAAATACTTGTGATAATGAATGAACTGAATAATGACTAACTTCGAGAGGTAATCACAAGAGCTCTAGCACAACCAATGAAGTTCAACTCTGCCGGAGATAAATCATGTGTTACAGGTAATCGTAAGTGGCATTTGAACAAAAATGCGAATCGACTGAGGCTAGAAATGTAAACCATAAGATACTTGTTTAGCTGTCTTAGAGTTGAGCACTCTCCACGAGATCTGAAGGGCTTCGTTTCGATCTCAGGTAAGATCATGGGTTCACACTGTTAAGTCACACACTAGACTTTCTAGTGGCAGCTGACTTTCAATGATTTCCTAACTAAGAATATTCAGTGACGTAAACTATCCTATATATATTTGGTTTTTCAGTAAATATACTCATTTTTCCACTACATCAGGTGTTGTTTGCATTTATGGTTGGTCTGCATAACCTCTACTGGTATTACGGTTTACAAACATTTAAGACCTATGATGAAGTAACAAATACTACACAGACGCTAGTTGCAACAGAAATGTTCGAAGGGTAAGTTTTCCAGTACTATTTCAGGTGTTTTATTATAGTCTAGAACTTCCTATAATCTGATTGTTTAGAAGAGTAAAACAATACGATGCTAGTTGTGGTAAAAATATCTCAGTTTTTGAGTTTATGACCGATATTCTATGACAAATCTTCAAGTCTCAATGAATGCTTTATTTCATCTAAGAGTCTATATAAACCTTATTGATTAGAGCCAAATGACGCAAACTTAAATAATTTAACTTTCTATCTATTCATGGAATGGAATGAAAAACTACGTAACTCATAAAAGTCATGTACTTAGAAAGAATTCATCGTACGTAGTATTCTTGATGGGGAACAATCCAACATCAAGAAATATATCGATCGGTAGAGAAATGCATGTACTTTCCGACACATAAATCTGCATAACACATCACATCATTCTAAATATGTGAACAACTTATTTTCAATTACTTATTTGCTTTTTACAAGTACCACTTAAAGCTATAAACCTTTTAACTTTATAAAAAGCACTATGTAATTTCCTGGGATCCACAAAAATAAAAACACTTAATGTTATTTTTTTGTAAACTTTAAATGATCAAAAAACCATTAACTTTAAAACTATAAACTACATGAAATTCGTTAACATTTTGAAAATAAACCCAAAATCATGACGTGATTAAGAATTACAGCAATTTACACATCAATAAAGAATAAGGATTATTAACTAATGTACTCCAATCTAATGCTTTTTAATGGTAGTATATTTAAAAGAAAATGTAGATTATTTTCACATATTTCTAACTATTTCCGCACGTTTCTATGAATAGACGTCAGGAGTTCCAGACATTGGTGAATTAATACCAGCCCAAGATTAGAACAAACTGTTTTTTTGTAAACACAAATGAAAGTTTGAATTTTCTAATAACTAAGGTCTCTTTAAACTTGTGAATATACCCTAGGTAATTGTTACAAAACATTTTAAAATTTGTTTTGAAATAAATTCTATGATAGCTTTTAAAACGTATAGAAATTAGGTTTATCAGAGTCTCGGCCATTATGAAACTCAAACCTTCTTTATATTTACCAAAAAATTTCATTTCTACCATAAATCTGCCCGTATAGCCCAATGTACAGAGCGAATACATCAAATTTTCAGACCAACTCTATCTTCTCATCGTACTAAGCTTAACACTATTTCAATTTTGTATAAATCCTATTTAATCATTTGCCCAAAAGTTATTATTTACTTTCTTTAATGTTGAATGGTCATATACAAGAAATAACACTGATACATATATCTGCACATATTACAGCCTCAGTCAACAATAAGAATGTTATTTGGATGATATAGCTTATCGATATATTAACTTGAAACGATTTAATTTCTTAAACAGATGTTGTACTTTATCCAATGTGATGTGTTTACCTGCGTATGTTTTTATTAGACGTTATGCGTATACTATTAATTACTTCAATAAAATAGTTGTTCACTGCTATCACATTAAAAAAAACGATTTAAAAAGTCATAATTTGATTCTCTAGGAGTAACAATAATTGCAGTTAACTTGCTGAAATTTACTGACTAATTTAATATTTAGATTGTATTCTGTTTACTATTTTTAAAAATGTGTCAAGTAATCAAAGCTACTTTAAACTGATTATGGAAAACTGATGTAAGATAATAATGTTTGTGAATAAAAATGACTTAATTCCTTATGGTTGGTATTCAGCATTACAACTGAGTAACTTTATATACATGTATATTCAGCTGATTCGTCTTAAATAGGACGAACCACATGTCCTGTATTCAACCGGTATCCACATACCAAATATATCAGTAATGTTTATTATTTGATAAAATGGTTTTCAAGTTCTCGGAATGATTAGTGTGTAATAATGTTCTTCCGCAATTGAATAGATCACATTACAAATGTTATACTATGAGATTCTAATTAGAAATAATTTTGATCATTAACTAACATCCATTTGAGAATTATTTGAACATTGATCCATATGTTTTGTCCGTTTTCGAAACGTCTCAGCTGTTTACATCCAAAAATTCATGGATTTCAAGACATGCAGTGACTTTAGGGTGGCTCACTGATTCAGCTAATTTTAAAAAATCAGTGTTACGATATTGTATCCCAATATCTGAACTCTTAGACTTCCAGCCTAAAATATAGTCATCAATTGTATCGGTTCACCAAAAATACCTTATTAAAGAAGTCACATCGTAGTAAATCAAACATTCATAGTTGATGAGGAATTAGTAAATTGTAGACTAACGTGGTAATCTAAAATTTTATTCTTAATTTATATTCAGAATTAAATTTATTTTTGAAAGTCTTTCGATAAATCAGTTCCAATTGTCCCAAATTCATTGATCAAGGAAATCAACAATTAATTTTTGTCAACTAAATGAATGACGAAAAATATATGAGCAATCATTAGATGATATATTCTATAATGGTGCTGTTTTGTTCTCTGAGCTGGTTGGTTTATCCGTAAATTTTTCATTATTTTTTTCGACAACAACATCAGCAACAGCACACACTTCATACCTCATGATTAAACCATCCAGCTCGGAGAATGAAACACTCGAAATCTTCATCCTCAGATACATACACTCTTCACTGTCTTTTTAAAACTCAATTATAATGTGAAACATTTTAAAAACACCATTTCTAACTTTTATAGTTCTTTTACGTTTTATTTATCTATGTTACACTTGTTAATACATTTTATAATAGTATTGTTGAACTTGTTTTTCTAGATCTTTCATATAAACATAGTAGGTTTACATTTTTAAAAAAAAACTATTATTTTTAAAATAAATCATTGAAAATCTAAACTGCCATCATTAATTACCTTTCTTTTTCTCATTTTCACTCATCTATTTTTGCAGACTTCGTCATACACTATACAGTTTATTCTGGTCAATGTTTAGTCAAGTCAGTATTAGTAAATTACCGATTCGTAAACCAGGTAAGTTATTTTTTATTAACAATAATTCATTGAATTTAAACGTTTACATCCATATAAGTTGCACTTTTCGAAACTTAACACTCTTACTAATTATTCTTAGAATGAAAATGCATGGGTTTCCGGTTGGTTAAGAAAGATTTAACAACACTATCTTATAAATATTGGCAGCGCTATGATTTTATTAGTGTATTAACCACTTGTCATCACCAATTGATAAAATGAACAAAAATGAGGCTTTATAATCAAGTTTTAATTCTATTTATTAACGAATGATCAACACTATATATATATATAGACAGATGAATAGATAGATAGATAGATAGATAGATAGATAGATAGATAGATAGATAGATAGATAGATAGATAGATAGATAGATAGATAGATAGATAGATAGATAGATAGATAGTTAGATTAATAGATAGATGGATAGATAGATAGAAAGATAAATAGATAGATAGACAGATAGATAGATAGATAGATAATTAGATAGATAGATGGATAGATATAGATAGATAGATAGATAGATAGATAGATAGATAGATAGATAGATAGATAGATAGACAGATAGATAGAAAGACAGACAGACAGACAGACAGACAGACAGATAGATAGATAGATAAATAGACAGATAGATAGAAAGACAGACAGACAGATAGATAGATAGATAGATAGATAGATAGACAGATAGATAGACAGATAGATAGAAAGACAGACAAACAGACAGACAGACAGATAGATAGATAGATAGATAGATAGATAGATAGTTAGACTAATAGATAGACGGATAGATAGATAGAAAGATAAATAGATAGATAGACAGATAGATAGATAGATAGATAATTAGATAGATAGATAGATAGATAATTAGATAGATAGATAGATAGATAGATAGATAGATAGATAGATAGACAGATAGATAGAAAGACAGACAGATAGATAGATAGATAGATAGATAGATAGATAGATAGATAGATAGATAGATAGATAGATAGATAGACAGTTAGATAGATAGATAGATAGATAGATAGTTAGATTGATACT